CCCCCAATTTAGATCACCTTTTTGAGTGAAACACATGCAAAGTTTAAACACCTGGACTTTCTGGCTAGGTAAAAGTGTTACAGTTAGGTTACTGTTATATTACAGATATGAAGGGAAAGGCTAAAGATTATGGCAGTCTGGAATACGAGTGCTTGGATAAGCAGGAGAGTAGTGAGTGAACATGATATAGCAGCAACAAAACAGTTTGAAAAGAAGGACATGGATTCAAACCCAGGAATTCAGCCTGCATACAAAAGCCTGTATACATGCAGTGAAGTATAATTTTTGACTCTTAGAAGCTATAATTTTAGCAGTATAGAGATGCTTTGAAATAGAGGAGTAATTTAGGAAGAAACAGGCTAAATGTAAAGAACTTTGATCTCTTACATCTTGTAGCACTGGAAATACTATGCAGCACTGCAGAGATACAACAGACTAACGGATTTATAAAATGAGTTTTGTCACACAGAGACCTGTTGGCTTTACGCAGACATAGCACAGAAGCACAACAGGAAGAAAACATGGCATACTGATAGTACTGAGACACTTGGGCAAAAGCAAAATACTTAAAGACTAGACACTGAGCTCCTTTTGTATGGTAATGCTGTTACTGCACACCAGGCATCCAGTACCATACCCTGTGTGAATAGCTGTGACCTCTGACAGGTTTGCTGTAGGATCTCCTAGTCATCTCTGGGCTACGAGGAGGTTTACCCAGAACAAATATCTCTCTCTTTAAATTAGCCTAGAGAAATCACAAAAACCGTGTCAAGTGAGAGTTTAAGAATGAAGCATCTTGGGATTTTTGTTGCTTCATTCACACATGCAAACTGGACATGCTTTTCTTGATAACAAAATGCAACTGTTGTAGGTGCAAACAATGGTACTGTAGACAGTATTTTCTTTGTTGACACTTTTTTTCCCAAGGGTTTGCTGCTCTGGCATATGCCCATACATATTACAGCCAAAAGATCAATCGCACACAGTGTATGCAGTTGGAACAGTTATTGCAAGTGTACCTGCTGAAGTAGCTCAGTTAATAATACAGAAAAGCTCAACAGCACCGAGCAGAAATACCAATGACAAATGTCGTAATTCCTTGCTGTTAAACAGACTACAGACCTTAAATCTGCATTTAGAAAGCAAGTAAATACTTGATGGAAAGTACTTCAAGGAAAACTTTGTTTTGTTATCACTTTAAATCAGCTAAATATTTGTTAGAATTCAGCTGGAGTATATGAGTGAACTCACAGCAAATGCGAGTTCTCAGGGGCAGGAGTGATTTGGGGGGAGTGCATAGTGCTGACACTGGAATTTGTGACTAGTTGCCAGTAGAATATGGCAAGACAGAAGAACAGCCCCCTCTTAGGAGCTGAGAGGGTGAGTAACAAACAAAAAAGGATACCAGGGAGGCTGAGGAGGCAGGAAAACATCAGCACTTCTCCTTGGGAAGTGTCTTCTTTTTTTCCCTTGGAGGACACATCCCTCTCACCAACCTGGAGCAAAGTGACACTTCCCACCCATAGGTCTTTGTATATTCTACTGCCCAAATCCCTGGTCATGCTTTAGAGTTGAGCCACATTCCAAATATATATACACACATGATGTATGTATTTTTACATTAACAAAAATTACCAAAATATCAGTATAAAGTTTCAAGAACTCTCTGAAGAATCTCCCTTCAGTTGTGATATTTGAGTCCTGGAAATGTCTCATGCCCTTTGTGCTGTAGGAGTTGAGAGCAGACTTTAATCACAGACAACATGCAGAAAGAGGATAGGAACTGTCCTTCCTTCTCAAGTCCACCTTGTAGACTGTATCACAACCAACTGTGACAGCCAAAACCTGGCTACACTTACTTTCATCCAACTCACTACTCTGACAATATTGTCGGTATCGACTGCTGAAAAAGGTTTGCTTACCCTTTATCTCATTTTAGAAATACTGTCCAAA